CTAGTAGTAACAAGTGCCTTACTACTAGTAACAAGAAGCTATTAGAAGTAAACAAAGTTAAATTAAATTGACTAATAGCAAACATTGTTGCTAATAGTAACAAGTGCCTTACTAGTAGTAACAAGTGCCTTACAAGTAACAAGAAGCTAGTTGAATTAAAACAAAGTTAAGTTAAATTAACTAATAGCAAACATTGTTACTACTAGTAACAAGTGCCTTACTAGTAGTAACAAGTGCATCGCTACTAGTAACAAGTGCATCGCTACTAGGAGCAAGGGCCTTACTAGTAGTAACAAGAATTGCAGTTCCACAAGTTCTACTCTTCCAATTTCAGTTCCATTTCCGTCGCGATTGCAGTTCAAACATGTCCCTTGCGCCCCCCTCCTTCAGTTTGGTAATGTCTTGGCCAATGCAAATCACTCCACTGGTCTGGCCCGTTGGTGCCAAACAAGTCGTAGCTGTCAGGAGCAAAGTGGCGGTGCCCTGGCCCATACTGTTGTGCAGGCGGACTTCGAAGACATCATTTGGGGTCTGCTCCGCAGTCAAGGCCCTCTCCACGCCATCCTCGAAAAGCCCTTACTCAAGTGAACTCACATGGCGAAACGTCCGATTGGAAAAATAACAGTTAGGTTTTGTTTCCTTTAGACCTTTCATGACCTCTCATGATCTCTCATCACCTTCCTTTTTTTTCCTTCCTGAAATGTCAACACAAACACCTATGTGAGTTGTGCCGGTCCTGTAAGGATTTCCTCGTCTCTGGCGACAAGACTTCGAAAACAGACTTCCCAGCCAACTCCTCTTGAGAGAGTGCACTTCGGTTCTCCAGCCAGCTGTTCCTGAGATTTTGCTCGTTTTGCACGAGGTGTTTTGGCCGGGACTCCCGTGACTGAAATGTTACAAGTTCTGCATGTCGAGCTTCCATTTGATAACGTTGAACTCCAGGTCAATCTCAAAAATTGGAGCATTGGCCTTCAGTGGAGGCCACCGCTCTTAGAGGCCACCACTAGGTGTGGAGAAAAAATCACCTCCCTTGACCGGAGATCTTTCGTGCAAGGCAAGGCAACATTCCTGAAGCACACAAGAGCTACAAACCCGTGTGAAATGGTGTGGAAGGGGGATCGGCTAAGTGCATCCTAAGCCGCTGATTGAATGAGACCTGAGCAGTCTCGTTAAAGGAAAACACAGGGAAGCGCAGGCACAGGTGGCAATCCGTCAAACATTTGGGTCCAGCCAAACCATGGCACAAACATGCACAAAATGTGTTCAGCCTTCTGTGGTGGCGAAACACTTGTGGCACACGTTCTCTTGTGGCTGAAGCAGCTAACATCGAAGCCCCTGTGCATGTAAGGCAAAAAACGACTGGTACGTGCGGATTGGGCTGAATATGTCTATGTGGACTGGTGGACCTGTCTGAAACCCAAGCAGTTCCAAGCGGAACCCTCCCTCCACTTATGGAGCCAGCAGGTGGTGTTCAGAAACGCCATTTGAACAAAACCCTCAAGCTTCACCGCGTCAAGCTTCGGTTCAAGCTCTCCGCCAGGTTCTCTGCCTTTTGCTTTTCCTTACGAAAAACACGGAGGGAAACACGGAGTCTGATTAAACATCAGCGCAAAAACCGCAAAGCCGGTGGAACATTTGGGATTCCTGTCTATCACGTCTATCAGAAATCCCAAGCGCCGCTTTCTTCTGAATCTTTGCTTCTAAAAACGGGACCACTGTTTTCTGCCTGAAGCTTAAAGCGGTTGGAATGCCATTCGCTCTTGGGTAGTGGTGGTAGTACCGGCTGCGAGCAAATACCTGAGCATCCTTAAGTCAAGGCATTCTCGGTGGTAGTGCATTTGTGATTTTGGAAGAATCAGCCAAATGCTTGGCAAATGCGAAGACAAACAACGTAGCGGCATTCGCATTCCAAAACATGGTTCTTCCAAAATCCCAAACCTAAAAACAGGATGCCTCTTTGCATGTGGAGGCCATCCGCTCCAACCGTTGGAGGCCATCGCTCCAACCGTTGGAGGCCTCGTGCGATCGGAAACCAAGCATCTGACGTCAATTCAGTCACATCCTGCCCAATGCCTGTGTGCACGAGGCTTTGAACAAGGAGCTTAGGTCCGTCCAAATCATTCAAAACGGAAAGGACTCAATAATCTCAATACGTTTTGGGCCCATCTCATGCTTGAAACCTTGCGAGTCGCTGCCGGATGTGCACCTTTGGGCGGAATTTCAGCCGAGGCGCAAACAGCGCCCTTAATTTCACCTGTTCGGGTTCTTTGGGAGGTCGCACTCACAGCCATCATGCAGCTTTTGGCCATCTGTCCATTCTGTGGAGCACCAGTCATGTGCATCCTGGCGACCCGGTCAACACGGACTGGTCGCGTCTGCGACGTACGCGACGCGACGCATAGAACTGCTTGGTATCGGTCAAGGTCCCTTGTCCCCTTGTGACCCCCTAAGGGCCCCTGTCACCCTCTTGGCTACAAATGGCTCTTTTTCCGATCCCTCTGGGCAACGACAAGCGGCTCCACCACGCTCGAATCTAGCCCTTCCAGCGCATCTCGTAGCAGCTTCTCAGCAGAGGCCCACCATCCGCTGGCCCTTTCAGAGCAAAACTCCTTAGGCACTGACCGTCATACACAACGGTCATAACATGTCATAACATCTATCTGAATCGATCTGGCTATGAAACTGCGGAATGGATCTGGAAGTGGGACAGTGAGAAATTCTTAGACCTTCCGCATCTGCGGTTTCCAAAAAGAATCATCTGTCATCGCTATTAAACGCGTAAACAGTGTATAATTGGGGAGGCGCCACACCATTCCCTGGCGAGTGTCGGGCAGGCTGCGCTGCAAAGCATCCACCTTTTTGACACCTGAGATCTTGGGCAAATGTGCCAGAACAAGAAACATGTGCACAAGGTCACAAGGCTTGTTGGTGAAAACAACATTCAGCGGAGCTCCGATTTGCCTGTGAGTTCTTCTATCTTTTGGTTCCATTCCTGCTTGCACGCTGCTTATGGAACCAGGAGGAAACTGAGCAAATTTGAAAATAAATGGTCCTCCACCTCCAAGTTCTTGTTCACACAAAAAATTGGGACCTCGGCTATGAAAGCGTGTCTGATACGCTTCTGTTCATGATCTGTTGACATATGGCAGCTCGAGGCAAGACCCTGAAACGTGGTGAAACCACAGCAATTTCTGCTGAGGATGTCGGCAATCCTTCCATCGCCTTGGATTGCTCATCCAAAGTACATTGGCCTGTGAAATCAATCGCTGGATATCCATCGCCGCCAGCTGTGCTGCGACACCTTAAACGAAAAAGTCTTATACAAACACACCAAAAAGAAACAGCGGTCTACAAAAGAAAAATGAGAAAAAATGGAACGAATAAAGTTTGAACCGGTGAGCCGGAACCGCAACACAAAAGCAACAGCCAAAAACCAAACACCAAGGTCGCCGTGGCCGAACGTGAAGGGTATCGGCTGCAGGCGGACCTTTTCATCTTGAGCCAAAAGCATGGTAGCAAGTAAAGCATGTACATAACATGTACATAACTAGTCACTAGTCCCCTCATGCTGAGATGCGTCTACCATGCAGCTAGGATTCCAGGTCACGAGACAGTTGGTTCATTGGCAAGCCACCTATGACCTGAGAATGTATCGGCGCGAACGAACATGGGTAGAGGGGGAGTGCAGCCAAACTAACCCTTGCTTGCTGGCCTGGTTCCTGCTGGCTAGGCACTACAGGCTTTGCGTCCGGCATTCTTGCCGGGCACTACAAACTATGCTTCACGCAGTCGGGCTCTTTTCATTCAAGCACTCCTCAAGACTTCGTTTGAGTTATGCGGGTTCACCGCTGAGCTATGGCCTCTTAGAGGACTTAGTTGTTCTTACCCGGTTCATACAAAGGCAAGGGCTTCGCGGCGTACTGCAGCCGTTTCAACGCAGCAGGCCACTTCTGACATGACAGACCCTTCGTGCGGACGTCTCCTCGTTGCAACGAAGTGTCTATGTGACTGATATCAATATCTTCCGAACCGTCAACCACTTCACAGGTTGACGCAACATTGACTCTGTGCGTCTTTGCCAAGTGACGAAGCTTTGCTGAATATTCCTTGGCGACGATGGCAATCACTAGCGGAGTTATCCTCAAAGATTGCGAGCCTGATCGATGGAATGAGAGTCTGCCAAACATGAAGAGCCGGCAGCGCTTCAGAAAACAACGACAAGACAGGGACATGAATTCACTTTCTGTCGTGGACCGTGACACAACACTGTCTTTTGCTTCCCCAGCTTAGTAAGGCGAAGCTTGACGGTCCAGTCAAGGCCAAAACATACCCTGATGTGGACTTCATGATGTGGACATCTCCTGCAAAGTCTGCGTCACAGAACAATGAAATGCTTATGGTATCAGGAGGGTCCTGAATTGACACGACGGGCGCATACTCATGAGTGAGCTGCAGGTAACCTATCAAGCGAGCAGTTCTCCGGTCATCATTAACAGACCATGTGGTGATATGCTTTGCAAGAGGGTTTATGATTAACATTACATCAGGCCGGGGAACCCTGCGCAACCACATTAATTTCATGACCAGCTTAGCTGCATGAGGTGCAAGTTGACCGCGGGATTCATCATCTGATGCAATGAGTGAGCCTTCATCCCAACAAGGGGATGCGTAACTCTTGATTGGCTTGTTCGCCAAATCGCTGTAGAGCTGGACACATTGCTTAGCAAAATCCGAGGACTCCAAAGCGAGAGCTTCCTTACCGTCCATCCATACCAGGCGATGGTTCCTGCCAAGGACCCTACCGAACTCAGTTGGAGGGCCAAGGTTGACGTGTTCACTTAGTGCACGCCAGAACTCGCCACGCTTCGACTTCACCAACGCCAACGTCAAATCATCGACGTATACTGACATGATCAAGGCTTGGCCAAAGTGGAAAACAGGTCAGTGAATTCAATCCCATTCAACTTCTCGCGGAGAATTTTTGCCAAATGAGCTTGCCAGTTAGCAGAGTCCGTATAAGCTCATATACAGGTGCGCGCATGGCTGATGAACGTGCTTCTTTGACGGAGGGACAAGTTCAGGAGGCAACATGACGAAGGTCTTGTGCTTTGTTCCCAACGTCGGCTGGATGCACGCTCGGATGCAATCTGAGGTCGAGCACGTGTGGCCTTCAATCATTGAGGAGGCAATCACAGTGTTCAGCGCTGCCATTGAACTTGGAGCGGAGGCTGCAAGATCCTGGAAGATGGCACTTAGTCCCCCCTGATCCCTTACTGCATCACCTCTAAACACGATTCGAGCTTTGATCTTCCATTCGGAAGGATCTTTCTCGAAAACTTTGATGCTTACAATAACCATGAGCGCTCCCAGATGCAACGTTTCGCTTGCAAACTCTTTGATCACATCGGCTTTCGAGCGAATTTCCTCTTCCAACCATGTGCCTTGGAGCAAAAGGCCATTCTTTTCATGCCAGTTGCCTCAAAGACTTCTGGACGACCTTTCCACTCCTCTCTGTCAAGCAGTTTGTGCATGAATGCGGGTGTGAAAAATTCTTTGAGACAATTCTCATAGACGATGACATCATTGGGAACACATGGCATGCCTTTTGCAACATGTTGACGGTGCTTGTGGTTGTATACACGAAGCATGCGTGGCATGGTCGGAACCTGGCTGTTGATCGCGCGCGGAAACAGAGCGCTAAGCGTCAATCTACACAAGGGATCAGGGTAAAAACCGGAGTTCCTCGTATACTTCCCTTCAAGGGGAGCATGACGGTCATGTGCGCACTTAAGCTTACCCAATGATTCTGTTAATCTTACATTAGTTATTGGTTACAAATCTCCATGGCTTTCTGGCAGGCTGATCGTCCTTGGCTTTCACTCCTACAGAACACCCATCACAGGTGGCTGAGAACAACTGCCTCTGCGCGATCCAGGATGCCAACGGTTCAGACATCCATCCTGAGCAGTGCCTGGGCCACTCAAACGAAACAAAACCTCCATTGTCTAAAGCATGGTTTGCCACCCTGATGAACGAATGCATCATTACTACACTTTCTCTCCCTTTCTCTCGAAGGATGCTGGTGAGTCGTGGGTTCTTTGCTTCATTCAACCTTTGCCAAGCACTCCAAGGACCACATTTTAATGGATCCATGAATCGAACTACCAGCAATTGCTTTTACTTGCTCAACAAGCTGATCGATGCTGGCTTTTATTTGAAAGGTCAATAATGTTCTTTACAAAGTCTAACCACCTGAACACCAAGTTCTTCACAGATTCTCCCAAGAGACGAATCGGACGCACAAGCAAACTCAAACAACATATGTCCACCTGGTGACTTGTGAACATTACTCTGCAATCGCTCTGGCTTTGCTGCTGCACCAAGACAGCCTTCAGCATTTGCCTTCACAGCGGATGAGTATGTCTCTTGTGCAAGCTCCTCAGGAGCGCTGCAAGAAAGTGCATCATGCGACACGGCAAGCACGACATTGACGCCGGAGTGCACACGTTCTTCAAACTCTTCAATTTCATCATCACCGTCAGAGGGCGGAGGACATTCAGGAACATCTTTATCCTCTTCGACCTCTGACCGAACAGATGGAGTATACTCTTGATCATCCTCGAGCATGTTTCCAGGAATCTCCGGCATTTCAAAGGTGGGAGGTTCAACTGCTGGAGCTGGAGGGGCTGCACCAAAAGCTTTCTCATACCTAGCAACCCTTTGTTGGACCAATCTTCAGCATCCTACTGTACGTGATGTAAACCCTGCGTGCTTTCGACTTAGTTTCAGGTGTGTCTTCAACAAACGGAACCGGCAACGGGTCCACATCAGCAAGTTGACGAACACTTGGATCGGAAAAGTCATTCATGCTTTCTCTGCAAGATCCTTCAAAGGGAAAACACGCTCATCACGAACATACACCTCACGATCCGGAGCGAGAACCGTGCTTCAAGGTATTATAACCTACGAGTCTTAGACTAAGAACTCCCTTGTAGCGGCATCCAAACTCAAGCTTCCAACCTCCCATGAGGGCTGGAGAATACTGGAGAAGAGTTGGGGGCCAACTTTGACTTGTCTTGAAACTTAGTCCTATAGAACACCCATTGCCCCAAGATGTAGTTATCACCTTTGAACTCAAAACCAAATGCCTTAGACCAATGTTCAATGCTCATCGAGACAACGGTGTACTGGGTCCACAGCTTGGGTGCAACTGCAAAACCTGCTTGCAAGTGCATGCTGCGACATGACTCTTCGAATGCTCTAATTTGGCGTTCGAGGACACTATTTGAGGCCATCGACGCAGCAACGAAGCATCTGCCAGCCAACAACGAATGGCCTTCAGCAGTTCCTTTGCGCAGTCGGACTTGCAAATGGTCTGAGGGTCCTTTCCCTTTGTGCCTACAAATTGGATCAAAGTCAAAGCTTCTTTCACGGAATCTGTGTCTTTTGACGATAACGGAAGCGTTTGAAACACTCTACTGAACAGATCCATAACAACTAATACCAAAAAAAACCTTTCCTGATGAAGACTTTGAAACAATCACGTCACGTTCCTCATATGCAACCCGATGTCTTTTCACACGCTTGGAATACAACCTGGTTTGATGGTTGATGGCAATTTGGGGGTATGGGTCACGCAGTGTTCTACGGACAAAGCCTCTTCTCTTGCTTTATGTTGCCCAATGGCAGACACAGATGGCCAACCATCAAATATTTTTTGTGAAAGAAAGTGAAAAAAGCAAAACAAAAGCAAATGAAAATGCAAAAACAAAGCAAAAGCAAAAGCAAAAGCAAAGCAAAACAAAAACAAATAACAAAGCAAAAACACAGCGCAACAACAGGCAAAAAAACAAAAAAGCAAAGAAACAATTCAAAACAGAACAAGATAACACATACATAGACTTTTCAAGGACAGCAATGCTTGCTGGAACAAAGCACATACGCAAGGACGCAAGGCAGCAATGCAAAAGCAGCGCAATTTGCTTTGTTTGTGCATTGTTTTTTCTTTTTTCTTTCTTCCTGGTACCACTTCTGCACTTATGAGAACTTTTACCCGTCAGCAATATTTGCTGTACCCTCCTAGGAAAAAAGCGAAAAAAAGCGAAACAAATGCGAAAACAAAGCGAAAAATGCGAAAATAGAGCGAAACAAAAGTGAATAAAAGCGACAGGTACGCACAGCTACATTTTGTTTGCTTTTTTGTTTGCTTTACCTTTTGTTTTTTTTGGGGGGGGCTTTGTTTTTGCTTTATAAATTATTTTGGCTCCTTGTTTCTGTGGCTGGCGCGGCCGACATAACTCTTGCTTTTGCAAGCTTTTCAGGGATCTTTGGAAGGGGTTCATCAGGAGCAACTTTCCTAATCTCCTCTGCTACAACTGGTGGAACTGAGATGTCCCCAGGAGCACGGCTTTTGGACGCTGCTTCAACAAGATCAACCTCTCCAGGCATTCCGCGGATGAAGTCAAAAGACCCAGCAAAATACGGAGCATTCTGCTCAACCCTGGTGGCCCTGATCAAGTTCTCTTCATTGGTTTTGAATTGCAACTTTGAACAATCCTTGATGTACCATGGAAACTGATCTGGCAACCAAAGAAAGCCCATCCCCGAGTTGATGTCAAGACCCACCGAACGAACAAATGGACAAGACGCCAACACGAAATTATTGGCTTCTTTGAAAACTCCTTCTTTGTCTTTCAAACCAGGACCAATGGCATCACTCGAATCTCGATTGCCTCCACCTGTGGTGAACCTTAGGCTCTCACTTGACGGGACCATGAACCGATCGAACACATCATGATGGATCCCCTGACGCTCTAAAGCTTGCGAGGAAACAAGGTGACGACCAGCACCTGTGTCGGCAGCGAACTCGAGACATCCTTCAGCAGGCATGGCCATGGATGACAATGCAGCGACAATGGCAACTGCAGCCATCGCTTTGCCTTTGGGAGCAGGCTTGGGCGATGTCTTGGGCTTGGGCTTCGGCTCAGCCTTTGCCAGGTGAACTCCCTGATCCGGTTTTCACCTTTTCATGCAAATAGGCACATGAGCTTCCATGCGCACAACCTGATGGCATTTAAAAGAAAACACAAGGCCTCTTTGCTTTATCTTCCCTTGGCACTTCCTTACCTTTACCCTTTCCTTTTCCTTTCTCTTTCTTCGCCTTGCGCTTTGCATCCCCTTTTGAAGAAACATCTGCAACAGCGGCAGGGGCTTCCTTGGCAGGAGCTGCTTTGGCAGGATTGGCAGGAGCATTCGCTTTCTCTTTGAGATTCTTCCAAGCTTTTCGCTTCAAAGACAGCTCGATCGAGCGGGCGTTGACATCTTCCCGTTCCCCTACAAGATGTTCTTGAAGTCTCCCCCTCTCAAACTCCCGAAGATGAGTTTGATTTCATCCATGGTCCTTTCGAGTTTCCGAACATTCCTCAAACGATGGAACAACCACTCACCGAGCATTCGAGGCTGAGGCCAATCAGCAGGATGAATGGAATTCAGGGTCTTCATGACATTACCGCTAAACTCCTGAAGGTCCTTCAACGAAAAGCCACTTTCAACCAGAAAGATGCTTTGGGAAGTGAGCAACGAACCACCAGTGCGATTGAGATCGAAATGACGAGCGATCATGCGCAGAATGGCCCTACCACGGGGCACTGCGATCTGGCATTTGCGGTTGAGGTCCGGTAGTGCCCACTGCGATCTGGCACTTGCTGTTGAGGCCGGGCAGTGCCCACTGCGATCTCGCACTTGCTGTTTAAGGTCTGGTAGTGCCAACTGCAATCTGGCACTTGCTGTTGAGGTCCGACACTGCCCACCGCGTTCTTGTGGTTGCCCACTGCGATCTGGCACTTACAGTTGAGGTCCGACACTGCCCACTGCGATCTGGCGCTTGCTGTTGAGGTCCGGTAGTGCCTTGCTGTTGAGGTGGCGAGGAGGAGCCGGAAGGAGGAGGAAGGAGAAGAGCTCTGATAGAATCTAACAACCCTCACCTGGCAGGTGGGGCACAAAGACACAGAGAAAGAATGGTCTCTCAAGACTTCAAGAACAAAAGGGCAAAATGTCAAAAGAAGCACATTAGCGGACAAAATGTCTAAAACAGCAACAGGAAGAAATGTCTAAAGAAAGAAATAAGGAAAGAAAGGTTAGGAGGAAAAACATGAAGAAACAAGACAAAAAAGGAAGAATGAAGAAACAATACAAAAAAGGAAGAACGGTCTAAAGGAAAAACAAGAAATTCAGAAAAGAACAAGAAGCGCAAAAACGAAGACAGGTCTAAAGGAAGAAAGAAGGGTTTAAAGAAAAACGGGAAAAGACAGGTCTAAAGGCCAACAAGAGGACAAGTCTGAAGCAAAAATGGAAACGAAAGATCTAAAGAAAACAGGAAGGAACGTCTAAAGAAGAAAGGAAAAGAGGCCTGAAGAAAAAGGGTTGGAAAGAAAAGAACAAAGGAAGAACGGTCTAAAGAAGGAAGACACATCTCAAAACAACATGAAGACATGCCTAAAGCAACTAAAGTAGGGAAGAACCGTCTAAAAGAAACAAACAAAACAACAAAGAAAGGTCTCAAATGGTTATATAAAGGTCTACAAGTAAAAAAGGGCGGGAAGGTCTCAAGAAAAACAAAAAGAACAGTCTAAAGAAAAAGAAAGAAAGGTCCAAAAAGCAAGAGGAAACAAGGTCTGAAGAAAAACATGAGTTTTGTTTCACGGGCCATTGCTTAGATGCAGTCTGTGCGCGCAATTCATCCAAGATCATTAAGTTCCTCCTTCGCCTCATGCTCACCAGAATGGCCGAATGGGTTAGCTTGGCAACCACATCGGAGACGGTATATGACATCTGTTCCTTGGATTCAACCAGCTGGCAGGAACGAAACCGTGCTGAACAACCTAAAGACCTCTACCAAGGTGTCAGGTCAGCGGCATTCTTCACCTCGTTGCGAGATGACTACTAGTAACAAGACCACTAACATACTACTAGTAGTAGTAGTAGTAGTAGTAGTAGTAGAAGCACGAAGCTACTGGGTTGGAGGCCATCGCTCTTGGGTTGGAGGCCATTACTACTAGTAGCAAGAAGCTACTAGTAGCTATTTGCTACTAGTAGTGATGCCCTTGTTACTAGTAGCTTTTGTTTCCATCAGCGCCCTGAAGGCCCTAAAGTATGAGGTTTGGCCTGCACACCCGACCACCCAGTTGGTTTGGCGGTGACTACACAAGTGTTTGCAATGTTTGCAGAGCTATCGTGTTTCGTTTTGTTTTGCTTTGGGGAACGCGCATGACGCCTCATATTTACAGCGGTTGCTTCTTTCCACCGGCTTCATTTCAAGTCGTTGTGCTTGGTTTGGAATTGCTCACGGCAATGGTCTGTGTAACAAGGACAATTCTGCCTAGAAGAACGGCGTTCCCTTGAAATGCAGGAGATTTCCATAAGGACAAATAGGCACCCTCCCAAACTCCTACTTGCGCCTGGAAACGTTTTGCCAAGAAATGCACCCGAAGACTGCCAGCAAATAGATCACGCCATAATGCGTGGCAAGTGCAGCCTGCCAGGCAACCGCAGAACTTAGGAGTTCATGAGCCTTTTGGTTGCAAGGAATTTGCGCTTGATCCAGCTCCTACCGTCACGACAGTTTTTGTGGGTCGTGCTGCGGATGGGTGTTTTGCCCTGCGCAAAAAAAACCAAACAACGTGTGCAAAACTAGATGTGTGGGCATGTAGCGCGGAAAATGACACAAGCACATGGCATCCTTCATTCAATTGTGCCTTCGGCTAATGACAAGCAGCCTTTCCTGCTTGGGTACGATGGGAGAAAAGGGGAGGTCACAGAACCTACTAGTGATGGCCTCCAATTTAAAAGCAGGGGCCTCCAGCCTAAAAGCGATGGCCTTCAACATAGAAGCGATGGCCTCCAACCTAGAAGCGATGGCCTCCAACCTAGAAGCGGTGGCCTCCAACCTAGAAGCGATGGCCTCCAACCTACCAGCGATGGCCTCAAATCTACCAGCGATGGCCTCCAACCTAGAAGCGATGGCCTCCAACCTAGAAGCGGTGGCCTCCGTGATGGCCTCCAACCTACTAGCGATGGCCTCCCAACCTACTAGCGATGGCCTTCAAACCTACTAGCGATGGCCCCCCAACCTAGAAGCCATGGCCTCCAACCTAGAAGCGATGGCCTTCCAACCTACTAGCGATGGCCCCCCAACCTAGAAGCAATGGCCTCCAACCTACTAGCGATGGCCTTCCAACCTACTAGCGATGGCCCCCCAACCTAGAAGCAATGGCCTCCAACCTACTAGCGATGGCCTTCCAACCTAACATCAAAATGGCTTCTCCTCGCAGTCCTTAGCGGCTACGACTTTGCCTGAGTCCTGGCCGAGGCTTTTGCTGTTACTCGACACAGACCTCGACGTTATCATTACAAATGGCACCTGGGACCAACACCGCAAACGGTTCTTGCGGCACCTGGCCACAGCGGGAGAAGATATTTCGGAGCGGCCTTTCTGGGTCTTTCGGGAGAGCCCGGGCGAACGTGCTTGTTTCTGTCTGTCGTTCTGTTTCCGACAGGGTCAAGAACTGGCTCCAGATGTCTGGTCTCACTAAGCAACCGTCAAAAGCCCTGAAAAGGGACAGTGCTGCTTTTCGATAATTTTGGGGCACCGAACAGTTTCGATGTCAAGATTTGGCTATTGCGATCTTGACAGTTTCGGAGTCCGTTGCAAACCTTCCATTTGGCCACTCGAATCTGGTTGAATCTGGTCGGCGAATGACACGACCATTTTCCTGCACCGGCGTTTCCTGCAACGAAGTGCACAGCATCAATAGAAGGGTTTAACCACCTTCTATTGTTCTTTTCGCAGTTGCTGCAGGTGCAGTTCACGCTTTCTTTTTGAAGGGGTCACTCGCCGTCAGCAACTGTCAGCATCACAATAGGACACGAGAGGTTGGCAGGCCTTTTCTGTCCAATTGTCCCTTGTTTGCTCACATAGGGTGGGCAGGGGCAGGCCCATCATTCGCCTGACCTTGGGAGCGGCGCTGCCTTTCACTTCGGGTTCGTCCCCACAATGTTCCATGTCGCGACAGCTGGTTGATGGCACACGCCGCAACATACATGCGACACTCATCACTCCACTGCAAGGCTGGTTGATCATGATAAATCATGAGACGAAAAAAGGATCGCTACTAGTAATAAGAAGCTACTAGGGGCTCCAGGCATCGCTACTAGCAGCAAGGACGCTACTAGGGGCTCCTGGCATCGCTACTAGGAGCACGGATCGCTGCATCTTTTCAGAAATGAGCAATTGTGCATGGCAAACTGGAGATGATCGCCTGCCTGCGTGATGACAAGCACTGGGTAGTCCTTGGTCTGGAGAACTAGCAAAAGATAGCAGAAGCCAGTACCCCAACCCAGGGTGGAGGCCATCGCTTCTAGGTTGGAGGTGGAGGCCATTCGTATTAATTAGGTTGGAGGCCATCGCTTCTAGGTTGGAGGCCATTGCTTCTAGGTTGGGGGGCCATCGCTAGTAGGCTGGAGGCAATGTTATCCTTTGCTGCCAAGCGTCCCTTGATTGCTTTCTTTCATCCTTCTCGCGCGCGCCGAACCAATAAACTATCCTTGGGATGGGAATAGCGAAAATCGCTCTATTGACAACAGTGTTCTTGTAACACACACACACACACCGACAAATACCGAATAGACAGATCTGTTCAATTGGAGTTCAAGATCTCAATTCCATTTCGGCATGGTGGCAAAGCATTCCAAGGTGCATTTCCAATGAGGAATTGTTTCCAGGCTTGTCTGCTTCAACAAAAATTGGAAGGCTTGCTTAGATGTTTGACTCTCATTTCAATTTTGACTCTACTTTTTAATCCTTTCCTTTTATAGACCTTTGAGCTTTCTCTTCTGTCTTTTTCTCATGTCAGAATCCTAGGCCTCATTTGCTTGTTTGCTTAGTAGTATCAGGTCTGAATTCCCAAACCCTTTTTGCGACGCGACTGAGCCAAAATCAAGCGTCTGTTCTGTGGTGGCAACGGCATAGGCACTGAAGGATGCCTCAGCCCCGCACAACGGCTTTTTCAACCTAATAGGAATGGCCTCCAACCTAGTAGCGGTGGCCTCCAACCTAAGGGCGATGACCTCCAACCTAGTAATTACCGATGGGCTCCAACCTAAGGGCGATGACCTCAACCATCTCAACCCTAGTAGCATTCATGCTTCTTTTTTTCAAAACAAAACATCCAAATGCAAGCAAGCTACACATAGCAGCAGCCAACGGACAAACTGAGGGAGCAGAATTGAGCAAAAGCAAACACAAAGTTCAAACAGGTCCTTGAAGTTGACATTTTGGCTCCGGTATCACAAAGTTGAATGAAAACATCAAACACAAATCAAGCAATCAGAAGGCGAAACACTAGTTTCAAACAACACGCGCAACTTGTCAGCACGTCTGTTTCCATTTTTCGAGGCCTCATCTTTCACGACGAGAGCAATCCAAGAGGACCAAATGTATACAGCTGTGCCTCAAAGAAAACAGTGTGGTTTTTAGGTGCGATGTGCTCGCACTAACCCAAGATCTTACTGGGGTCACCTTAGATCTGGAGTTTCTTTTGAAATTGTCCCATACGCGACCGAAAGAAAACACAACCAACGAACGCATTCTTGAGACCCGAAGAAGCGTTCTATACTAGGGGCTCCTGGCCTTACTACTAGTAACGAGAAACTACTGCGGAGATGAATTGGGCTCTAAGAAAAAGCGAAAGCGAAAGACGCTGCTTTTCGCGGCGAGTGCTTGATCAAGCTGCGGGCGAAACCGAACATGCCACCAACAACCAGCACATGCCATCTTCCAAATTGGGAAGGAAGGATGTTGGCTTGTTCGGATCTAGCTAATTCGATGTTGGCGCAGCCAACCTATCGTGCATGTGATGGCGCTGCCATCCCGCTTTTCATGGCTCTGCCAGAATTCTTCTGTTGGCTCTGCCATGAAGTGGACTGACTTGGCGCTGCCATAGTCTTGGAGCGGATCTTCCGCCTCTCCCGCTGTCCCTTTCGTAGTTGCTTGCGGTGCTCCTCAATCTCGCGTTCTTCCGGCGTCTCCTTGAGGCTTATGGTCTTCTTCCGTAGGTACTCCTCCCAAAGCACATTCTTCATGGCCTTCGTGAGACCGTCCGCGTGCTGTCGATGGGTAGGTACCCAAAACAACCTATAAATCTGCTGCTCCAAGAGGTCCTTCGCGACAAGCAGATCTAACATGGTTTGTCTTTCAGCCGGAATTTGACCAGTTGCTCCAAGATGATCGAAAAGAGACTTCGCATCTGTCACGATGCCACCACCAACGCGAAGCTTCTCACGCCAGTCATGGCCAACTTTGAAAACGCCATGCAACATCATGTCTGCAATCAGGCGGATGTACAAGTGCCTGTCCACCGCCACACTGAGCGAACATGACTCTGCCGCCATGGAACTTCGAACAACCCTGCTGCTTTTGTTGGTCGTGTAGTCGATTGCTGCAGCTGGCTGTGGTCCATGAATGACATCTTCATTGGACAAAAAGTGAATCGCACCAAGTTGCGATTTGCCATCCTTCTCCTTGCCCAAGCTGGCGTCAAAGTAGGTCACCAAAAACAGCTTGCCACGGATCCGAGGGTACGGCAGAACAGATCTGCCTTGGCGAGCTTCTTCTTTGCATTCTTCAAAAAGTTGGAGTGCCGCCTTGTAGTCACCCATCGTGGCTTTTGTTGCATACTGCGCCAGCTTGCTCGTCTTGTACAAAAGCTGCGGCATCGATTGCTGGCCAGGCCATCGCAATCTCATCACCAACTGTCGATATGCCGTGAGCTGCTGGGCATCAAGTGGCTTGTCATCATTCTTGGGTTCCAGCTTCATGCTTAGAAGGGCGATCTTGGCGATGTAGTTTGACATATCGTCAAAAAGTTCTTCACCCTTTTGCTTGAGGTCCACGCCTAGGAAGGTCAAAGGAATCGACTTCCATTCTTTGATCGTGAACATCTTGTTGATGTCACTCTTCAACTTCTGAAAGCGTGGATCACCTTCATCGCCAAATAGGAGTCCATCGTCAACATGCAAGCTGAGAATGCTCCAGGCTTTGTTGCCTTCCGCGGCCACGAAACTGCTCTTGCTGATGGGCAGTTCTTCCAGGGGTGTGGTCGTAAGCAGCTTGCTAGCACGCAAGTACCAAAGCCTTGGGCTTTCAACCAAGCCGTACGCAGATCGTAGGATCTTCATCAACACTCCAGCTTTCACCGGAGGCTCTCCCTCAACTGCTGGTAGACCTTCTTCTGGAGCTCTGACATAGACGTCTCTGGTGAGGTTCTCACCTGAAAGGAATGCCGTGGTGACATCAAATGACCATCCTTTCCATCCATTCCGAACCGCCACAGCCTTTGACGTCCGAACTGCCTGCAGCGTTGCTGTAGGGCTGTCGCTCCTGAAGTGACCCAATCCAGGATCTCGGTGTCCAGGAACTACCAGACGGGATTTCGCCACCAACGGTGCCAGGAGTTGAGTCTGCTTGTTGACTCGCACCATTCGCAAAGGAGCCTTGAAAATAAGGTGCCTGGGAATCTTTGCTTCCTCCTCCTTGGACAGCCGCTTGATGACTTTATTGCGGACCCACTGTTGCCACTCTTTGGCATCTGCTTTGAGGAACTCTGCACGCTCCTTCGCATCAAAGAACTTTGGATCCAACTCCTTGCCACTCTGCTTGAGCTTAAGGAGCATCACCTCTGCTAACAGGTGATCATGCAGATCTTCCAGCCAAAGATGCTCAAACTGTCGTCGCTCCTCCTCTTTCAAGTTGGCCTCATAGATCCCATCAGGAAGCTGGATGTAGGTTTTCTGTTCTGTTGGCGGTGGCCCACTCTTTAAAAAGAAAGTCATTCCTCGCCATGGAAAAGATGACCTCCGCCGTGGATGCTTTGCAGCTTCCTCCTGATCTTCTTCCACCATGAAGATGTTGTCCGGATCCTTGCCCATCAAAATTGTCACCCGAGCTCGCTTGCGAGGTGGCTTCATGAACCGTTTCCGGGGAAAGCGATGTAGCCTCGCAGCTGTGATCGGCAATCCAGTAAGTTGCCTGAGCAGTTCCACTTCATGGCGGGTGATCCATTCGTTGGCAGGTCCTTCTGAAACTGTGGAAGCGAGCACCTGCATGAACAAAGCTGTGCTCGGTCTGGCCCTCTTCAAGGGGAGTTCTGAAGTAGTGGATCCTTGCAGTTTCCGCTTAATGCTGAAAGGAACATCATCTGTGAGACGCTGTCTTCGGGCCTCTGTAGGCAGTTGCTCCCAATCTGGTGGATGATCAGGACGTGGTGAATCTGCCGGCGAAGTCGGTGAATAGTCGGATAGACCACCTGAATCATCAATCGGCACATCGACACCAGATGTAGGGGCAGGTTCCAACGGTGGCTCAGCCACAGGTGCTGGGGGTGGCTCAGCCACAGCCGGAGGTGCATCCTCCAAAGCCAGGCGCCGCCTTACGACACGCGGTGCCGGTTCCAATGGCGCTGCCACAGGTTGAGCAGGTAGAGGAACACGAGGTGGTTCTTCTCGATGTAGTGGAGGTTCAACTGCCGCTGGCAACTCCTTCCTCTTCTTCTGCCGTGGTAGCTGAGACATCTGAGGCCGCTGACTCAACAGTCTTCGAACTGCCTTGGTTCCCCTCAAGATGTTCTTTGCTCTCAGCCTCTGTGGATCTTCGGGAGGACGAGGTTCTCTCTTCTTTCGAGGTCTCGGAGGCGGTGGCTTTGCTCGAAGGTCCTGGTAGATGTTAGATCTCGTGGGATCTCTCAAAAGCTCTTGGATGTCCAGGACGTCTTCCTTCACCGGTTCCGAAAGTGCCAATTCCTCTGGAGTTGCAAGCCTCATGTTCTCCTCGGCTAGTAGGAGTAGTCGTCCTCGCCAACTCACAAAGTATCTTTTCTGTTGTTCTTGAACCAACACTGTAGCCGGACCACGCCATTGGCCACTGTCACGGTTATAGCGCTTGAGCTGCGGCACCCAAAAATAGATCTGAGCACCTGACACGAATGGTCCTGTAGCCGTGGGTGGCTTGCGTAGCAATGTCCTCCTGAGCTTGTCACGGACATCTTGACGAATAAGAGCCACGCGAGCTGTTGCGCGCATCTTGTGTGCACGAGCCACCTCACTGTCTGCAGATAGGCCTTGAACAAAGCTCATTCCAACATCATCTGCAGTCAAGCTCGGCCATTTGTGCTCAACGCCGAACACCCTTTGATTTGGGGTGTAACCGTCTTTGGTCAAGGTAGCATTCTTTGCCATCACTGCACAGGACAAAGCTTTCTTCATTTGGGTATAGCCAGTGATGCCATGCTCATCAACAATCGCCTGAAACATGACTCCCAGTGTGGCTCCGTGACGTTCTCCCGCGCTCAACTGCCATGCTGCGTGTGCTCCTGTCACCTTTGAAGGGATCGCTAGATCTTCGAGGAGGGCATGGAACGACTGTTCGAATTCTCCTCCTTGGTCATGGGTGACTTGAGCGGGGCATCCATAGAGCGCTATCCAGTGTCGCAAGAATTTCTCTGCCACATAGTCGGAGCGGCGGTTCTTGAGCATGATCGCATCGTGCTTGATGGTACCTAAGTCCAGAATGCTCAAGCAAACATACTTTTTCTTTCTGGAGTCGTACAGGTACTTCAGGTCCAAATGAAGGTGCACGTTGAAGCCAAATGGTCTTGTAGATACAGTTGAAGGCTTCGGGTGTCTTGGTGCTTGTCGTGCAGCACAAACTGAGCAATGAAACTTGCTGGCATACCTCAATGCATCCTGGCTGGCACCGCACAACTTCAACATACGAGTCAAAGAAGCACGAGTTGGGTGTCCCAGCTGCCTGTGAACAAATTCAACAGCTTTGCGAGTCTCTGCACTGACTGGATGACGTTCATCGTCCTCTGGGCCTTGATGCTCAGTGCCATGGAAACGAAGAGTGTCATCGAGTTGAGCTTCTTGGCGACTCTTCTGCTCCTCAATGTAGTCTTCACCAGCCATCCAATCGGGGACCGTGTCTTCAATCTCATAGTCCTCGGTGAAGGCCTCATTGGTTTTGTGAGTGAGCCAAGCTTCCGCTCCCTTCAAAAGTGCAGTGCAAAGCTCCTTGGGATAGCCACCAGCAAACTCTGCTAGCGATGCCCATTGACCTGTTTTGGTCTTGTAGCCGCCTTCAATGATGTGGTGTTCGTGATCACCCGGGCACATCTTATTTTTGAGCTCGGTCAGGGCACCATCCTCTCCAGCGATAATGGTGCGCTTCCTCATAGGCATGTGGTTGTTCGGATGTGCTAGGCCAACCTGGCATTGATCAAACTGAACATGCGCCAAACCATCGAAGGCCTCCTCAATCTCTGGAGTCTTCCAAGCCTTGGACGTGGCTGGATTCTCGCCAAAGACCAGGCCACCCCTCCGTCGTTGCCAAAGAGCAGCGCGGCGGGTGAAGGACAAAACTGTCCGACGGGCCTGAAGGCGCTTGCGCTGCAAAGTC